ACAGGTTCTGGAACTCACTGGACAGCATACAAAAAATTTGGAAAAAGAGTTATTTATTTTGATAGTTTTGGTAACCTTCGTCCTCCTCTGGAAGTAAGAGATTACTTTTTATCAAATGGACCTTGTAAAGTACTATATAATCATGATAAATATCAATCATTTAATAGTTATAATTGTGATCAGTTATGTTTGTCATTTCTATGTCAATAAAAATAATAATTATACCCATGTGTTTTCATTTGAGTGAAAGTCGTCACGATGTCATACACTTTCACTGTTTCGGCGAGAAGTTCTATCCTTTCAGTTAAAATCAATCCTCCTATAACGTTAAGTAATCAAAATGAATATGTGTTAGGTCTTATTGATTTCGTAAGTTATAATTCCATTCCGAATGTTGATGAAACTAATAACAAATTTTATTTTGGTAAATCGCAAATAATTACGATTCCAAATGGAGCATATGAAGTGGAAGATATTGAAAAATATTTAAAGAACGCATTGAATGGCTTGAAAGAAATAATCCACCAACAGATAAAACCATTTTAACTTTAGTGGCAAATAGAAATACGCTACGAAGTGAATCAAAATGTAACAGGACTGTGGATTTCAAAAAACCTAATAACATTGGCTCTCTTCTCGGTTTTAAGCCACTCTTACATACAACGCCAGACAAACATATTTCAGAGTATCCTGTAAATATTACAAAAGTAAATTCTATAGGAATTGAGTGTAATTTAGTTACAAATACTTATAATAATGAAAAGAGTACTCATATGATCCATATGTTTTTTCATAAAGTTCCACCTGGACAACGAATTGTGGAAATTCCAACTAACGTCATTTATTTACCAATAAATACAAGTCATATTGAAGAAATTAACCTTAAAATAGTTGACCAAGATGGAAATCTGATCAATTTTAATGGTGAGGTGGTAATAATAAGACTACATTTAAAAAAGATTTAACAAAAAAAAACATGTTTGTGTTATATAATATACATCCTATTGAGTGGAACAATATAAAAGAAAGAAAAATATTAGATCCTATTAGTGTAAAGACAACGTACAAACCATTAACACAGAAAAATATTTTATTTTTAGTATCTTTAGGATTAAAAGTTAAAAATTACTAAACACCAAAATAGGACAACAAAGAAAAAAAAGAAGAAGAAGCAAAGATTTGTGTGCCGCTGTAAATTATTTGCTATTGTCAAAGAATTTTTTTTAAAGTGTTTTTGTAGGTGTTAAGTTACATATAGAAAAAAAATGAATGGTAATATACTTAATGTTAATAAAACTGTACCTGTAGATGAATCTATAATTAGTTCAGAATATCATACTCATCTTCCTTATTCAGCTACGTCTTTAGATAATAATGATGAGATTAGAATACAAATTCAATCACAGAATATTTATACATATCCTAGTGAGAGTTATATAATTTTAGAGGGAAATTTGATATCACAAGAAAAGAATCACTACAGTCAAAAACTCAGTTTTATTAATAATGGACCTCTTCATTTATTTAAAGAATGTAGATATGAACTTGGTGGAACAATAATTGCTCGTTCTAGATTTCCTGGAATTACATCAACATTAAAAGGATATGCATCATTTACTCCCAATGATTGTATTAAAAATGCTAATTCTGGTTGGTGCATAACAGAGCATCCTAAAATTATTGAACAATCAACAGGTTATTTTAACATTTGTATACCACTGAAACAAATTTTGGGATTTGCAGAAGATTTTAAAAAAATTATTATTAATGTGCAACAGGAACTCGTATTAGTTCGCAGTCATACTGATTTGAATTCAGCTATAACCACAGATCGTGCTACTGATACTCCAAAAATTAAGCTCACAAAAATTATGTGGAAAGTACCTCATATATCTGTTTTTGATGAACAAAAATTGGTATTATTACAACACTTGGAAATGCAAAATAATTTAGAAATTTCATTCAGAAATTGGTCTTTACAAAAATTACCAGTTCTACCAAAAACAAAATCTTACGATTGGACCATCATGACAGTTAAACAAAGCGAAGTACCACGATACATGATTATAGGTTTTCAGACAGTTAGGGAAAACAGTAAAACTCGAGATAATAGTGATTTTGATCATTGTAATTTGACGAATTTAAAAGTGTATTTAAATTCTGAGGTGTACCCATATGACAATTTAAATATTGATTTTAAAAAGAAACAATATGCTATTATTTATGAAATGTATGCAAGGTTTCAAGAATCTAATTATTTTCAAGGTAAAAGCGAACCTTGTTTGACCCCTACCAATTTCATACAAAAAGCGCCGATATTCGTTATAGATTGTAGTCACCAAAACGAAGCAGTAAAAGGTGGAGCGATTGATGTTCGACTTGAACTAGAAGCATCAGAAAATTTTCCAGACAACACTTCAGTATACTGTTTAATAATTCATGATCGTACGGTTATCTACAATCCATTATCAAATTTAGAGTTTGGATTGGTTTGCAGAAAAACATAAACACCATCTTCAATGGACAACTGACAATATACATGGAATAAATTGGAATATTTCTCATCCGAATAATATCTCTATAGAAACTATAAGTGAGTACCTATATAAAAAATATTATTGGAACCAACACAATTGTAGTCAAAGGAAGCCAGAAAAAGAAGACACTCCAAAAATTTTTGTGTAATAAAATTATAGATATAGAAGCTACAATGAGCTGTCCAAAGTTAAGTGTTTTAAGGCAGAATTCATGTAATATGTCAATACATTGTAATTTACATACTAATAATAACTTAAGTTGTTCTCTAGAAATTGTAAATTTAATACATGATTGGTTATTGAAACAATTTATTACTAATATTGAAAATGTTACTTGTGATAATTAAAAAAATTTACTCATATTTTGCAAATATTCTTTATTATACCAATATACCCATATATCCCATAAAACAAATATACATATATATATATATATATATATATATATATATATATATATATATATATATATATATATATATATATATATATAATATAACTGCAATTATTAGTCTTCAATTATTGTCTCGTCTGAATCATAATCAGATTCTTCTGGTTCAATTGGTAAGTTGAATTTTTTTATAAGCTCACGAACTAACCAATTGGGAAGTAGAGAAGTAGAACATTGAAGTATTCTTCGTACATCATTTTGGCTTAACACTCTTTGAGATTTACACACTGCTAAAACTTGTCTAAAAGTAAAACACACCATAGGTGCCTTTATAAGGAAGGCAGTTATTAGACGTACAATTGCCAATTGTTGTGTCTCAGGAGTATTTACCATTTTGCACTGAATAGAATGGTTTCGTTGCAATATAAACTTATAGTGTCTAAATGAATTCTTACGGACAGTGTGCAAAAACAAAAAAAGATTTTGCAGTCTGGACATAGCACTGTACCTCTAAAAAAACAAAAAAATCAGAATTAATTGCAGCTATATTATACCTATATCTATATGAAAAGCAATTACAAAGGTCTGGTTGGTGTGCCATCATTTATTGTTATTATATCATCATCATCATCAATAATGTCTTCATCATAGTCATCTGCCTGTTGTTGTTGTTGTTGTTGTTGTGGTGTGTAAACCGCCAAACTTGTGAGTTGTCATCAAATTGAGTTTCAATTTGTAGGTTATTAGACCCAGCAGGTTGTGTTACTTTTCTTTTTATTTGTTGTTGTTGTTGTGTGTCAAACCGCCAAACTTGTGAGTTTTCATGAAATGGAGCTTCAATTTGTAAATTATTAGACCCAGCAGGTTGTGTTACTTTTCTTTTTATTTTTTTCTTTAAAGGCTCCTGAGGAAGAGCAGCAGGACATGCTTCCTCCTCCTCTAAATTGAAATAATATCGTTTCATTGCTTTTTCAAATAAAGCAATTTCAGCATTATCTGATAGCTGCATGCGAACAAACTTTATTGGTAAATTACCAAATTTCCGTAATAAAGTAGTTGATTTCGGTGTGTATGATAAGTCAATTAATATTCTTTCAGTTCTGACTGAAATATTTTTTAAACCATATCTAAAAGAAAATACAAAAATCTATTACAAAAATATATAAAATAAAGCAAAAAAAAACTTACTTGAACAGCTGCTTCATGACAACTAGTGCCATTTTCATAGGAAAATTTAATTTATCTTCAATTGTTATCAATATGGTACATGGAATAGTTGACATTTTTTATGTAATGATAAAAATAATAACAATAAATAAGAGCACACCAACAAATTTACTCACTTATGATATTTTAGTTATTCTTCTCGTTATGATATTAGTTTTACAGCAGGACAACCTATATATATATATATACCACAAAAATTAATTACGTACATGTAAACATTTTAATTAGATACACTTTACCTACACATTAGAAAAACCACAATTACCTACAATTATCATAATGATATACTTATTGGCTTATTGGAAAACAAATTATTTTATTGTTATCTATAATAAGCCATAAAAATGCTTTTACCTGAATAATCGCATATATTACGTACATACATGTAATTGGAAAAACAAATCAATTATATATTGCAACATTGTTGCTCTAAATAATAATTAAACTAATTGTTTTGTTTTTATCGTTATCTCTAATAACCATAAAATGTTTTTACCCGAATAATTGCATTTATTACGTACATGCATGTAATTATTTTTTTAATTAGATACACTTATTAGAAAAACAAAATTACTTACAATTATCATAGTAACATTGTTGCTATCTAATAGTCGCAAACTGTTTTTACCTGAATAATTAAACTAATCTTTTTTGTCGTTATCTAATAACCATAAAATGTTTTTCCTTGAATAATTAGGAATAAATGTTTTGTTACATTGTTGCAGAGTTTTAGCAAAATGTTGTTGATAAAATATGTGTTCACGTACTATGGTTCATTTACAATCGATAGTCATAGAATAGCACAAGTGTGTTAACCATTCCAAAAATAATAACAAGAATCTACAATGTCATCATCATCAAGTTTGGATCAGTTTGTTTTGGATATGGTGAAGAAAGTGGAAAAAGTTGTTATGCTGTTACGAACAATTGAGGAGTTTAACAAATGGATCAGATTTATCAAAATAAGTATAAATTTAGTTAAGAAAGCAATTAAAAATAAATCTCATCATATTAAACATCGTAATAGAATTGAAACGGGTTTAGGTCTTTTAAATTATCACAAGCAGAATTTGAAATATCAAAAATTATTAAAACAAAGAGAACATTCAAACAAACATTCAAAAAATAATACTAATAATAATTTAATATGGCGTGATTTAGAGTCAAGTTTTAATAATAGAATCAAAACTGGTGTAATTATTAATTTAAATTTTAAAGATCCTAAAATATTTTTGAAAAAACCATTTAGAAGTTTTTCTCTAAAAATTAAAGAGGCACTAAAACAATCACTTTTAAAAGACAATACCATATTTTTAGCAAATTTTATTAAACCACATAATTTAGAAACTGATATTAAACATTTTGCAACAAAAAACGAAATAATTGACCATACTACTAATTTAAAAGAGTGGTATGAGGAACATGTCATTAATAAAATATTATCAAAAATTGAAGATTTTCAAGAGAGAGATTCAGGATTTGCATTGTACAAAATTTTGAATTTAAAAGTAAATATAAATCAGTACATACCCATAGCCGTAGGTTGTTCTAGTTACATAGAATTACCTGAATTTATTAAAAATAAAAAATGTTGTATTAATATTCAAAGCAATGATAATTACTGTTTCCTTTGGTGTGTTGTGGCATATTTGTTTCCTGTACAATCAAATACAAATTCTAGTAGAATATCCTCATATCCTCATTTTACAAATGTTCTAAAATATGATAACATTAATTTCCCAATGAGATTAAAAGACATAACAAAATTTGAAAAATTAAATGAGATATCTATCAATGTTTTTGGTATTTTTGAACACAACAGCATAGCACCAGTCTGTTTAAGTAAATTTAACTTTCCACAACGTGTAAATTTACTAATACTTTCTTATACAAATGAAAATATTAAGAATGAGAATCAAAATTTTAATATTAATTTTGAAGATATTTGTATTGATCACTATCGGATTTACCATTACGTCCTTATAAAAAATTTATCAAAATTAGTTTTTAAACAATTAAATAATAGTAATACTAAAAAGTGGATATGTGATCGATGTTTAAATTATTTTTCATCTGAAACACTTCTTCAACAACATTGGGAGGATTGTTTTAAAATGAATAATACTAAAATGATAATTCACAATTGGAATAAGAGAACCTTGAAATTTTCTAATTTTAAGAATAAACTTAAAGTTTCCTTTGTTATTTATGCAGATATACAATGTCTTTTATTAAAGTATTTAGATCCTAACATTCCAACGATAAACACCAGAAAAATTCAACATCATATACCTTATAGTGTAGCTTTTCTACTAAAATGTTCATATGATGATTCTTTAACACAATTTAAAGTTTATACAGAAGAGGACTGTATATCCTGGTTTGTTAGAGAATTACGTTAAATTAGTACAAAACTGGATGACATCTATTCAAACATTGTTCCAATGAAACCTTTGACAAATCTAGAAGAAAATCATTTTTTAAATGCTGAAATATGTTATATTTGCTCACAACGCTTTTCAGATACCGATATTAAATGTAAAGATCATTGTCATAGAACTGGAACCTATAGAGGCGCTTCTCACCATTTTTGTAATTTACAGTTACGTGAAACTTTTATGATACCTATAGTATTTCATAATTTGGGGTATGATAGCCACTTCCTAATTAAACATTTACATACAGAGATTGAAGGAAATTTTCAAATATAACCATTAAATAAAGACACATATAAATCGTTTACAAAATTTGTACAGGGTACTAAGTGTAGTTTACGATTTATTGATTCTTATAGATTTCTGTCTGAAAATCTTGACAAACTTGCATCCTATTTAGCTACTTCCCAAAAAAAAAAATAAAAATCATTTTTCCCAAATGAAATCCAATTTAATTTGTTGACACGAAAAGGAGTTTTTCCTTATGAGTATTTAGATTCTTGGGAGAAGCTTAAAGACAAAAATTTTCCTAAAGATGCTTTTTATAGCACCCTTACTAAAGCTCATATTAGTGATGATGATTACAATCATGCATGTAATATATGGAGAGAATTTCAGAATAATACGTTAAAAGATTTTTCAGAAATTTATCTAATTACTGATGTATTACTATAAAGTGATATTGTTGAAAATTTTAGGGAAACTTCTCTAAAAACATATGGCTTAGATCCCCTTCATTTATTATACAGCTCCTGGATTATCATTGGATGCATGTCTTAAAATTACTGAAATAGAAATTGAATTATTAGATGATGTAGATAAAGTAATGTTTATTGAACGTGGTCTTAGAGGAGGAATTTCACAAGTATCCAATAGATATGGTAAAGCTAATAACAAATATATGGGTAAAGACTATAATGAACAAGATCGTGATTCATATTTAATATATTGGGATTTTGTAAATTTATATGGCACAATAATGTGTTTTTCTCTACCTTATGGAGGTTTTGAATGGATAGATCCCAATGAGATGCCAGATATTACAACTGTTGATAAAAACTCTGATATTGGATATATATTAGAATTTGATATTATTTATCCAAAAGAAATATTTAACAGACACAAAGATTTACCCTTATGTCCTGAACATTTAGTTCCTCCAAAATCAACATCCAAATTAACAAAATTATTAACAACTTTATTTGATAAAAAAAACTATATAATTCATTACAGAGCACTTCGGCAAGCAATAACACTAGGTTTAAAAGAGGACAAAATACACAGAGTCTTAAAATTTAATCAGGCACCTTGGGTGAAAAAATATGTTGATTTGAATACAGAACTTAGAAAACAAAGCAAAAATGAATTTGAATCAAATAATTACAAACTGATGACCAATTCCTTCTTCGGGAAGACTTGTGAAAATGTCCGTAAGTACAAGGACTGTAAGCTCCTTTCCCACTGGGAAGGCCGTTATGGTGTTCGAAATTACATTTCAAAACCAAATTTTCACAGTCTATCTATTATTAATGAGAATCTTGTAGTTATAGAAATGAATAGAACACAAATAACATTTAACAAACCTCTTTTTATAGGTTTTTCTATTTTAGATTTATCTAAAGTTTGGTTATACGACTTTCATTATAATTATACCAAAACCAAATTTGGAGAAAAAGCAAAACTCCTTTACTGTGACACTGACTCTTTGATTTATCATATTTTCGAGGAAAATATATATGAGCATATGAGAGCTGATATAAATAAGTTTGACACATCAAACTTTTCAGTAAATAATGTCTATAACATACCACTATGTAATAAAAAAGTGTTAAAAAATACCACTATGTAGTAAAAGGATTAATGAAGGATGAAAATAGTGGTCAAATTATGACCGAATTTATAGGTTTACGATCAAAAATGTATGCATTAAAAGTACTCAATGACACAGAAGAATATTGTATCAAAAAAGCTACAGGTATAAAAAAAGTGAATTAAAATCTATAACCTTTAAAGATTATTCAGATTGCTTATTTCATCACACTGTTACGAACGCTACCCAAAATCTTATCATTTCTAAAAAACATGAGGTTTACACAATTCAACAACATAAAGTTGCATTGAAACCTACTGATGATAAACGAATAGTTAATTATTTTGAAACTGACACTCTCCCTTGGGGATGGGAAGAATAAACTCCTCAATTGTTATTTTTAGAAGACATATACTCCACAAGGATCCACATACTAAAAAACGTAAAATATACAAAAAAAACTAATAAAAAAATAATATTAATCTTTCTATTTTTTGTTTTAGTTCCTATGACGGCGCTATCCCCTCCAATTCTCTCTCTTTGAAACATATAAATAGGCTAAACAGATTTTCCATTTCATTGTGTACTAAAGAGCCACATCAATGAAGATGTATTGCGTATTATTTTTCGTCATCCTTGTTACACAAATTATTGGAGTGTCAGCATCCAAGACTGTTTTTGTTAACACTGAATATAAAATTGATGATGGAGACTTTATAATTGCAGAAATATATAAAGAAGAAATAATTTTAAATGAATATTTGGCGTTCCATTCTGACAATTCCATACCACTGTATTCCACAGTTACCTGTACTGAAAAGAAAATAGGGAACTATTCCTGTGGTTTTACAGTAGGATCATATGAACACTATTATCCTACTGTTCCGTTCAGAAATCCAATCATATGTGGACACTATAAACTTGATCAATTTCATAATAGACCCATTAGCTACAGAGATTATTTTTGGACCAATGTAGAAAATTTTTACAAACATGCACCTACTCTGAAGATACCAAATCTATATAAATTTACTACATTAAATGAAATTTGTTTTGTATACCTTTGAAATGTACCTTAAAATTATCTGTTACAATAAAACAATTAATTATTAAAAAATTCTTTTATTTCAAAAAATATATTACAAAAATTTGTCATTATACATACGTCTTCTTTATTTTTTTCAAATCTCCTCTTCACATTAAAAACAATAAAACAACATAAATTTATTACAAAAAAAAATCAAAAAATACTTTTTTTTCTTTCTTCTTTAATAATAATTTAGTCTTTTCCATCATTCTCACCTTCATTATCTTCCTCTTCTGCACTAAAAAAACCTTCATCTGACATTAGGGCACTACAATATTGTCCAAACCACAAATCAGTTAAGTCCTCACATAAATTGTTAAGATTAATGTAGTTGTTTATGAACAGAGCACAAAGACTTACAGCTTCATCATAGTTACATGCTAAGATTCTCTTTGAACGATCTGATGATGTTACCACATACTGATGCCATGTTTCTCTTGACAATCTCCAAAAAAAAATTATTCAATTCCATTACTATATCTCTAACTTCACCATTTTCTTCCATTTTTTTTCTGAACTGAAAATATTCCCTTGCTTCTGTTAATAAACCAAATCCCCCACCACGAGCCTTACCGAGTCTCACCGAGCCTTAACGACACGTACGATAGCTAAAAAGCATTGAAAAGTACTAGGAATTCTGGGCCCGAAAATTTACATTGAAAAGTCCTAGGAATTCTGGGCCCGAAAATTTACATTGAAAAGTCCTAGGAATTCTGGGTCCGATTTTTTGGGCCCAGAACCACTATAGTTACACTACTACTAGTAGTTTTGTGAATTTAATTATTTAGAAAAAGAAAAAAAGAAAAGAAATGAATTGTTTAAGCACTGAATTGAGACATATCACTATCGCACTCTAAACTGCTGTTATTACTAATTTTTCTTTTTAGTGTGGTAATGCTTCGTTTAGCAGATCTTCCTTTTAAATTGTGTTTAGCATATGAATAAGTGCTGGGATGTCTGTAGTAAAGTCCTGAACTATATTAGTGGGATTTTGTAAACCACTAAAATTACTTAATAGTAAACAAAATTGATCGAAATTGAGGATAAATGGTTGTGATTGATTTTCAATAAAGAGTTTTACTCATTCGAAAAGAGTTTGACTGAATGGTATAGTTTCTGTGCAATCTTCACTGGTCTTAGTTTTCTTAATTTTAGGTGATGGTGTCGAAAAATGTTCTTTTTTAGATCCGTGTCTGGCGGTGTACGAATATCATGAATATTCCATTTTGGCTTACTATTTATACCTATTGCGTCTATTGTGATATCAATATTGTTGCTGATAGTTTTTTGGTTAGGTGTTTTATCGGATTTTTGTTTGATTGAATCTGTTTTATCTGTAGAAGCTGAAGTTTGAGTTGGAATAATGACATTGCTAAGTTCAGTTTGGGATAAAATATCATTATTGTTTCCATAGAACAATCTTCAACATGAACTTGTGAGTTTTCATTGCAGCGATGGGCAATATGTCTGGTCTTTTAACAGTTTTAACATATCATACTATCTTGAGAAAGAAAGATTCGATATTTTTTTTCGTCATGATTTACAGTAAACGAATCAGGTAGTTCTATACTATGAGGACTTACATAGACCTGTCTTCTGAAACTGAGAATATGACTATACTCAGGTGACGTAGCGCTGATTTTTAAAAATGTAATTGGAGATACCATGTTAAGTCCGATATTTTGTAAGTAGTTGATTAAGAAACTATGCAGTATGGTGGAGCACACATTTGAAAGAACAATCCGTTCTGCAGGGGTGATTAATCTTCTAGCCTGTACAGTTACATTTTGAATTTTTATATGACCGTGGTTTGTCATGAAGTGATGACTTTTTATTTGCTAGATACATACAGATACGGTTATTTGATAATCTGGATAAAAATATATTCTTAGGTTGAATTATCTTGCCCAATGAAATTAAATAGTCCTGCAATTTAGTATTTTCCAAGGCACTGAAGACAATCGCTTGTTCTTTCGATGGGAACTGCATATTTGCTACTGCTGATGAGTACGTTGAGCTATTAAGAGTTTATTTCAGACATTAGTAGTGAGGTAGGTGAGATGCTGCTATTAGTTAATTTTCCTCCAACGTATTAAAATTATTGAAGGATTTAATATGGCCGTGGCCAGCTTTATAACTGGCCGATGAAACTTGATTTAAAACGAAAAACTAATAAAATACAAAAATATTACCACGATAGTCGTAAAATATAAAAAACTTACATGAGTTTTACTAATTTACAAATTCAGGAGATGCTACAAAAACTTACTATGTTACAGACGTATAAACTATGGCAAATATAAAACCTATTACAAAATAAAAAAAATATCTTTTAAAACAATGAAAGCAATTATTATTTTAGCAAAAAAATGTCTGTCTTTACTTTGAAAATTAAACAAACAATAAAAGTTACCTGAATTTCACATATTTTTGCACTTCAACTTTGAAACTTGCTACATCTCTGGATTGGAGCTGCAAGGACGAAACTCTGGAACGAAAGGAAACCACTTTCATACTGGAACAAAGATCTGACGGAAAACGGGAAAACGACAACATCAACTGATGGGACATCCTATATATGGCTTCAAAATTATATTTCTCCCAAGTAAGAATTTATTTGGATCCATACCTTAGTCTACCAACGACCCAAGCAAGAATGACGAAATTCTCTTAAGATTTCGTTCACTAACTTGAAAATAAACAAACCTGAAACAACAAAACACAACGAAGAAACGTAGAAGATTCTATTTATTTCTATATAACGAAATATTATTTGGTATTTTAATTTGGTATTTTAATACGTACAAATAGGAAACTAAAATAGAACAAAAAATATTCCGCGATCTTTCAAACATTTATAAGGAGATTCCAATATATTACATATACGAGGGGATCTCAATATACACCAAAAAAATCAATGAATTGCAAATGCTACACGATAGATAGTCCAAAATTGATAATTAATTTTCCAATATGTAGAATAAAAAACTTACTGACTGTTAATCACTTCATAAGCAAACATAACAATATTATTTCACATTTTATTAATTGTATTAAACACTGATAGTAAATATCAATTCTATATTGAAATTAAAAAAGGAAAAATCATCCGTTGAAATTGATGGAACAGGAAGCATATGTAAAAAAATATTATACGGAAAGTGGTCACATCTTTCTTTATGTATTGGGTACTCCCAATTTAACTTTATTATTATATCAACAACTGATTATATCAACAACTATTATATAACTGATGACCAGATTACGATATTGCTCGAGTTGTGGTTGAAAAATTGGATTTATATGGGAGCTCTAAAGCCAGACGAAGTAACCTTTTAAGGTGGGTGGGAAATCTTCGTAAGATACTAGGTCTTATGTCTAATATGTGGGATTCCCTCACCGCCGCTAAGATGGCTGTTGAGCCCACCACATGTGACACGCTCAACCGCAATCCCAGCCGGGACGAGAGCCTACCCACTAAAACCTCTCCGTCCTGTCAACCACGCTTGTGATCCACGAGTGCAGTCCGGGATTCGCCAGGGTGACGGCATATCTTCAGTACTACATCCGCCTCACTTCTCGTTAAGTATCACTTCACCGCTGGACTTGTGAACACAACAAACTTTTTTACAGCAGTGTTTCTTCAGTCTCCTTGGACTGGAGTGTCTGTCTGACGAATGCATGGGTTCTTGCCCACGTGTCTTCATCCTCACACATCCTAGCAAACATATCATTCACGGAATCAAAACAAACACCATTTCTTCTCTCCAATTCAAATCTATCTCTACTCCATCTTACACATTCCAAAAGTACATGTGACACAGTGTCGACCAAACCGTAGTAAGGGCATCTATTTGTAGCCGCTTTTTTGAACCTGAAAAGTTATAAGCGAAAACACCCATAGCCCGTGACACATTTTGCACTTTCAGTCACACCAGTATTACGAGCAAGATGAAATAAACGATCCCTCTAGCATGCCAAGATGTGAGAGGGCATGCAGCCGGTGATGACCCACAATGCTGCTGCACAAACAGTTCTATAGGCGCTTGCTACGCGTAACAGGCTTGTTCTGTCTGTCGTTCCAAACTGGGGCCGCATAAAGAACGATAGATTGCACTACCCCGTGCAGAGCCCTTCTCCTTTCAGGTTTAGGCCCGCCTATGTTGGGCATTATCCCTCCCATTGCAGCCGCTCTCTGCGTGGGCGTGCGCGTCATCACCCGCAAATGCTCGCCCCAACTTCCATTGGTGTGAAGAGTTACTCCCAAGTACTTGACGCACTTTTTACCGCACTAA